ATGAGTCAGCTTATAAAATCAAAAGTATTTTACTTTACAATTAGCCTTGGAGCCAAGAAGAGGAGAGTGGACAGAGAAAATATGAAACTAACTTTTGGATTTTCTGTTTAACTTTTTCATGTCACCATGAGCATTTCCCTCAGTTTTGTGTAGAAAATAAAGAAGGAATATTAAGCTGTAGGCAGTTTATCAGTAAATATTTAAGCTTATAACTCATGAACATTTAAAAGCAAAAGTATGGATTCTTCATAAAATGTCATTACTCTTAGGGACCAAAATAAATTTCTCTTGTGGGTCACTGATAAACATAGCAATAATAAGAGGCAATAATTGAACCTATGTGGAAGGGAGAAAGAATGTTCATATGCTTAATTGTACTTTATGACTGTGTTTTATTCTTTTCTTGCCCCTGGATATGTACAAACACAAAATTATAAGTCCAGTTTTGTATTGCACTGGCACATTATATGATGACAGGGCAAAACATGTCCCAGAAAACATTCTAGAACTGTCTGCACCGATAGCATTATAAAAATGGAGACCCGCCTATCTGACATGCAGTGTATTTTTACTTTATTTTTTCTAGGCCTTCATTGCTTTTGGGGGGCCAACTTGTGACAGTATTAAATGTTTCCTAGTGATAAGTATCATCCATGACAATTTATGTGCAGATATTCCACATTCATCCCAATCTTGATCTACCAGCTAAATACATTTAAGCAAGTATACTTCTGTCATAAATCACTAGTGAATGCTAAAGAATAATCTAAAATAAGCTTGCTGAAGGCAATTTGAAGACCAGCAGCTAGTCATAGCTTTCACAACATGAAGGTTTCTTTTTTTGTTTTCCCATAAACAATGGGTAATTTAAACATTCATTTAAGATGTTTCTGCCTCTTCTAAGTGGAAGGAGATACAACTGAGAACTACCTTAAATAAAAACAGTCTGTCTTATGGTTAGAATCCAACAACTCATCATAAATATTCTGGAGAAAGGCATGAAAGTCTCAGCTTCTATTTGTGGGAATGGCCACGTGGCCCATCAACATCTTGATTTTAGTCACGATACAACACTAAATCTTCCATGCATTTGTCTCACTTCCGCTCTTTTCTGACGTCTTAGGTGGTAGACTTGGCTCAAAACTGGCCTTCTAACTTTATAGTTACCTGTTGCAATACTAATTTGCAAGCTTCACACTTAGAAATTTCAATTTTATATATCTGTGTCAGAAAATAATTAATTCAAAACATTTCAATATGATGGAATGAGTGACCAACCAATGAGCATTTCAATCTCATGATTTTAGAACCATGTTTGAGAAAATAAAATGAAATAGTTTATCTTAAAGACATTTCTAAGTTTATATAACGATAGCTTTTTATGTTTTTGCCTTGAGGAACAGAGTTGATGATTAATTCATTCAACATCCAACAAATATTTCAAACCCAACTTATGGTTGAAATGCTTTGATAGTTTTGTATATTCCTATCATTTTTTAGTTGTGTACATCTTACTTTTGAATAAACAGGTTTTAGACTTTTAAAGAAAGATATGAAATGCTCTAAAATAGATACAAAATTAGGAAAGATCTTCTTTTTAGTTAAATATGCCTTCCATCCTTAGTATTAGATTTGCTTAGAGAAAATTGATTCCTCAATATTCCAGAGAGATGTAGAATCATTGACGATATTTTTGGGGGGCATTTTTTCTTACTTCTTCCTTTAAATAGTAGAGGGGATTTGAAAGACCTTATTTTTTTGTTTCTGCAATTCTGGAGATCATGTATGCCCAAGAACTACTTTTGATATCCTAATATGTCTTTTTGTTCCTAGCTCTAAAAAAGTACAGAAATGGTCAAAGTATATCAAACTCATTTTCATGTTCAGTATTTGGGCAATCCAATGATAGATGGAGATCCAGACAAAAATACTTGAAAAAACAGTTTACTGTACACATGTGGTTTTATAACTAAGAAAAGTGTATTATTTGGCTAGCTCCAGTGTAAGTCTTTTATCATCATAAAGGTATCATTTGCTAACAACATTTTCTTGGATATTTAGCTAAACGAGTATTATTCCAAAGAAGATGGACATAAGTGACATCTTTTTTTAAAGAACCTGCAAAATATTATTTTAGAAAATCATTTTTCTGTGAATGTGTCAATCTATATTACTTATAAAAGGTCTAAATTATTTATATTTTATAAAACATTTTGTATGGAAATGATTCTAATCCATTTTATGTGGAAAAGATACCAGTTTAGTTTGTATCTGATTTGCCTCATGTACTGAATTATATACAAGCTATTGTATGCTAAATGTATGTAATTTTCTATTTTAAAAAAATCCATGCCCTAAATGAAAGTGCTGTAAGTCAGTATGTACAATTTTCTTTATTGCTTGTATCTTACCTAATTTTAGAAAAGATTTGGTAAGTTTTATATGCAAATTATACTGAGAAACAGAGCAAGTCTAAAATTAGGTACGGAACCAGGTTTTTAGACCTGAAGCCCAAAGTTCAGAAGTCTCAAATTATCTCTAGCCACTATATGGGCAAAACAAAGAGACATGTTGAAAGGCAGAGGATGGATGTGTTGCCTGGTAGCCAGGAGAAGACAGCACTTAGTGCATCTTCAACAGTCTTCCAAGGCACAGACATTACGTTAAATAGGGGAAATTAGAGGTAAGGTTGAGAAAACTATGCATATTTGAAACAATCCAAGTCACATGCAGGGACTGATTGACCATTAGTCCAGCTGTTGTCCTTAGAGGCCTTCTGGAGAAGAACAGAAACAAGATTGTCTCTTGAGTTTGGGGCTGTTTTCTTTTAAATAAGAAGACTTTCCCTATTTGAGGGGCAGTTTGCCTTCCATATGAGATGCTTATCAATGATTTTCTCTTTCCTAGAGTCCATGGTGATCTGCAAAGGGAGCGCAGCATAGAATGGCATAGAGCTAAGGGCACAGAAACGAAGTTGGGGGACTTACAGTTAATTCACTGCACTCAGCAAACGCATCTTTTTGAGCCGGGCGCTGGTGGCTCACGCCTGTAATCCTAGCTACTCAGGAGGCTGAGATCTGAGGATCGCGGTTCAAAGCCAGCCCGGGCAGGAGAGACTATGAGACTCCTATCTCCAATAAACCACCAGAAAACCGGAAGTGGTGCTGTAGCTCAAGTGGTAGAGCGCTCGCCTTGAGCTGAAGAGCTGAGGGACAGCGCCCAGGCCCAGAGTTCAAGTCCCACGACCGACAAAAAAAAAAAAAAGCATCTTTTTGGTTGCCTCTTATAGATATTATTATCCTCGTTTTTCAAATATGAAAACTCTTGGGCTTGTACAGTTCTTTTGTTTGTTTGTTTGTTTGGGTCTGGTCATGGGGCCTGAACTCTGGGCCTGGGCGCTGTCCCTCAGCTCTTCAGCTCAAGGCTAGCACTCTACCACTTGAGCCACAGTGCCACTTCAGGCTTTTTTCTTTTTGCTTACGTGGTGCTGAGGAATCGAACCCAGGGCCTCAGGCATGCAAGGTAAGCGCTCTACCACTGAGCCACCTTCCCAGCCCTTTGTACAGTTCTTTATATGTGGTTGGTGTTGCAGGAATTCTCACTAATTTATATACAAGCTCTGCAATCACTGTTGTAAAATCTAAACTGTTTACATCTAGTTTCTTATGTTCTTAGGGAAGATAATTAGAACCTGTTTGGGAAATGATTTGGTAGCAGCTTGCTTTAAATTAAATTCGTTTAAATGAATGAATGTGTCTAACTTTTCTTGGCATGAATAGAATGCAGAGAGCGCTGAGAGCAACATTGAACTGCAGGTGATTCTCAAGAAATGGTAGGGAAACTAGCTTCCATGATATTCCAGCTTATCAGTGATGTCTCTACACGTAACTTGGTAGTTAAAAGTAGATTTGACAACACAATATTTATTGGCTAATTTGGAGTTCTTTGCTTTAGTTGGTTATCTTTTTTTAAAAAGAATCCGTTCTTAGTTGCCAATAGAAAGTCATTGCATTCCCTTTGTTGTCACATCTACTGTGAGGTCAGAGGCCATGAATGAGGTTGTATCACAGGCACCAGCTTCCTTTTCTGAGTGGTGAATTGTCTCTAGTCAGTTACAAGTTTATACGATAGTAACATCTGCATGTAAGAGAAGGTTAGCTGAAGAACTGAGGGACAGTGCCCAGGCCCAGAGTTCAAGCCCCACAAACGACAAAAAAAAGAGGTTATAAGATACCTGCTATTGCCATTCACTTAACATTAATAGAATCCTCCCCCAAGAGAATTCCTCTTGTGCTGTGATTTACTGCTTCTTCATGTAGTTGTGTCAATCATTTAACTACTTCAGGTCTTACTTGACTGCAGCAAGGAGTTAATGCTATTGTGTAGAAATGTGCTGTATGCCATATTTCTATCCCCTTCCTCTTTAACATTTATATTAATAAAATGTTATTCCCTCTACATCTATAAAGAAAATTTGTTGAAAATAAAATCAAATTGTTTTAATTGACATCATTTGGAAAAGTATATATATATATATATATATATATATATGAGCATGTTTGAAACAGAAAGGTTACCATTTTTTATATTTTTCTGACAGTTATGTTGCTGGGAGAACAGTTGGGAATATCTTTAATAATCTAATATTTCACTTTTTCTATTACTCTCCCAACTTTTTTCCTCCCAGTTTTCTCATGCTGTGTGTTTCTTCTAGGCTGAGGCATTCCTTGACTCTACCTCATGGTGAAAATGTGCCCTTAAATATTAAGCATCAGATTTTATTTGATGGTAATGATATGTTAAAAAAAAAAGTATTCCTGAAATGATGTGTCAAAACCAAGGAGTCAACAATGGCTGGTCCTTGATATTTTAGGAAGTTATTGCACATCTCTCTACAAACCACTGAATCAGCTTCAGATTTTCCCTGTCCTGGTACCCAATATCAGATGAGAAGATTGCCCAAAGTGATGGTTATTATTTTTTTCTTCTTCCAATTGTAGAAGAATTCACAGGACTTTGAAGAATGGCAGATGAACGGAAAGATGAAGCGAAGGCATCTCATTGGACCTCAGCCCAACTAACGGAAGCATCAGCATCAACACACCCACATCCACCAGAGATGAAGGAACAAGGTGTGGCAGGGGAAGGACTTGTCCGAAATGCCAATGGATTCCCATACCAAGAGGATGAAGAGGGAGCCTTTGGAGGACCCAGGTCACAGGACACCTATTCAGATACCAAAGAGAATGGGATTAATGGAGAGCTCACCTCAGCTGACAGAGAAACAGCAGGTAATGAAGGGCTTTCTCAACCAGTACTTCCTTTCTGATTTCTAGCTAGTTTAGTGTGAAAACGGAGTAATTGACACTTGAGATCCTTTCTCTCTAGTGCTAGGGCTGAAATTCAAATCAGACAGAAGAGACATCAATGAGAGCAAAAAATCATGGCAACAGGCATGCCAATTAACTGTATTCTCAAACCCATTTTCCTGTTTGATTTCAGTCACTTTAATTTTTAATGGGGAAAAAATCAATACACATTCATTCCTTTCCTCATCCATCTTTCCTTCCTTTATCCTTTCTCCCTTCCTCCCTTCTTCCCTTCCTTCTATTCTTTCCTTTATTCTTTTTTACTTTCATTCTTGAATGAAATTAGACCTAAATCCAATGGATTAATTGGAAGGATATTTGATTTTTTTTGGGGGGGGGCAGCATGAACTGTAAAATCCATCTCCTTAGCCTTCAAAAGAACCAGAAAATATAAACAAGCACAGGCATATATATACGAATCATTTCGTACATTCTCAGATAGCTCTTTGAAGAAGAATATACAAATTTTTGGAAAACAACATCCTTTACTCCTAGGCACTATTTTTCTGAGTATGATTTTCAGTACTTGTTCTCTTTCCTTTACCATCGGTATTCTCATGAGTGGTAGAACTGGATATACCACCAATGGCATGGAGAAACAGCAGGTCATACCATCTATTCCACACTACCATTTCACTTTTCTCAGTAACTCAATTTGTGTCTCTACTTGAATTTAGTAATTTGCAGACAATAACTCACCACTAAAGAGTAAGCAAACTACAAGTACTAAGATAAGGCTTCCCTTCAAAGTCATCATAACTTACTTCTTTGAAGAGTGATTTTCTATACCTCGTCCATTAGGATGCATCACTTATCAACTATCCACTCTGTTCCAAAAGCAGGTTTGGGGTGGGAGAGGTAGAACATGTATTTAGCATGCACATGGTTCTTGATTTCATCCCTAGCACCATCACACACACACACACACACACACACACACACACACACACACACATACACACACACACACACTTAATTTGAATAGAGAATGATAAGGAACATTTCAAATGCCACAGAGAAAGTTACAAATTACAAAATCCACTCCTTCAACAAGTTGCTGTTGAGCACTTTCTATGTAAAAGGTGTTACATTCATTTCAGTGCCAGCATGTGTGTAAGCATGCTTCTGAGACTCCGTGGCTCCGGCACTGCTTTAGCACATGGCCTGTGTGGGTAGTTAGTTTGGATCCAAAACATAGGATGCTGTGTGTCAAATGAGAACTACAGCAAGGCAAAGTTGAAGAGGACATGTTTCCACTTAGAGCCAGTATTCCCAAAATTGTACACAGATATGTGTTTGGGCACCAAATTCACATGGCAAGGTATGTGATACTTTCAAGAGACAAAACAATAATACTGAACCCCTGTCAATCATCACGTGAACCATTAGCTCAAGACGGCTCCCAGTGCATGGCATGTGTTTGCAAAGCTGTCTTCGGCAGCTGCTTTGGTAACAATCAGGTGCCGTACAACAAAGGAAGTAGAAAATGAAAAGAGCACACAGGGTCTGATCTGATTCAAGGAATAGAGAAGCTGTACTGTGCTCCCCAGGCACATACATGCTGTAAGTAGGAAATTGTGATTAGAATGAAATGATGAATTTTTCACTTTTCATGGCTTTAGTGAGGTGTAAAGTGCATACAGTGAGTGGTTCTAAAGTAATAGCTATTAATTATGATCAGTATTATTGGTGGCAAAGGTGTCAACAATGAGAATAAACAGTGTGGGACTGGGATTTGAACCCAGTGCCTCACACCTAAGTAGTGGACTGTTTGAGTCATATCCTCACATCTTTTATGCTTTATTCCTCAGATCATGTTTTATACTGTTCACCTTAGACTGGTCTTGAACCACAATTGATTCTACCTTTGTGTCATGTATGTACCTGTAATTACAGGTACATACCACCATGCTCAACTTGTTTATTGAGATAGAGTCTCCCTAACTTTTTCTTAGGCTAGACTCAAACATATTCCTTCTACATAGCTGGGATTATAGGCATGTACTATCATGCCTAGCCTTAACAAAACCCTTGATCAAGAAATACATTTCTCTACCATGGTTTGATGAAAATGGCTGTCAGAAATGCTAAATAAGTGGATTTTGAGAAGATTGAAGTGTGGAAGAACAAGAACATGTTATAGCATGAAGGTTAGGAAGAAGAGATAATACAATAGACCAAGATTTTTTCATCATCATATTCTGTAGCATCTGACATTGCACCTGCAGTCTTAGCAAATGTTCTGCCTTGATTATTGAATACACAAACAAATGCAAAAGGAAATTATTGGGAAAGCTTCCAAAAGTCTAGATTTGTCTTTTACATTCTCACCAGTTGACCACCACTCCCTTTGGAGGCTTATCATATACTCAAGAAATAAATCATTTTACAGAGTGTGCTTGCCCAAGGAGGAAACAAAAATTATTTACTGTTTCATTTGTTCAGTGGACATAATGGCATATTTAAAAGCCTCAGAAAAATCAATTTGCCAGGTCGGTGTGTCCTTGCCAACTTCTCCAAGAAAATAATGTAAATTTTAAAAAGAGACTAATGGGTATTTCATTGAAGTGATGGTTTCAGAAACATCCAAAGATTATTTTCAAGTCATCTCAACATATATCAAATGAATCTTCTATTATGTCTGAAAGATAAATTGCTAAGCTTTCATAGGTATGTTCCTAGTGACAGAGCTGGTAAATAATCACCTTGGGTTGCTATGGTAATATTTTCAATTCAAACTATGGTGTGATTTTTAAACTAACTTTCTTCTAAAAATTACAGGCCCAGCATTGAAGCCATAAAATAAGCATGCATGGGAAAACTATAGAAAAAATAAAATGTAAACTTTTGTTTCCTCTTACAAAGAATGTTCTAGTGATAAGTTCATAAGCAATCAAATCAATTCTTCTCTAAAATTGATAAGACAATGAGTTATTATTGATGGTTTATAGAAAACTCTTTTCTTTTCTTTTTTTTTTTTTTTGGTTGGTCATGGGGCTTGAACTCTGGGCTTAGGAGAGTGCTCTACCACTTGAGCCACAGCGCCACTTCCAGTTTTCTAGTGGTTTATTGGAGATGAGAGTCTCATCAACTTTCCTTGCCTGGGCTGGCTTTGAACTGTGATCCTCAGATCTCAGCCTTCTGAGTAGCCAGGATTACAGGCGTGAGCCACCGGCGCCCAGCTGTTTCTTAAATTATGTAGTGAAAATCATCCCTAGGAGAGGAAATACTCTGAAATCTCAAATATGACCATTAAAAATGTCATTCTTTGCTGGGTGCCAATGGTTCATGCCTGTAATCCTAGCTACTCAGAAGGCTGAGTTCTAAGGATCATGGATCAAAGCCAGCTGGACAGGAAAGTCTGTGAAACTCTTTTTTTTTTTTCCAGGTAAGGGATAGGTTTATTCAGTAGACTTGCTGAGACCAGGCAAGGTTGGCACTCCACGTGGCTGGGAAAGAGGAAAGAGAAGAAAGAGCTAGAGCAGAGAGAGAGCAGAGAGAGCTAGAAAAGAAGAGCAAGAGCAAGAGCAAGAGAGCGTCTGGGCCTGGGCTAGGCCTTATGTAGGGCGTCTGTGAAACTCTTATCTCCAGTTAAGGCCTGAAAACCAGCTTATCTCCAGTTAGGGCCTGAAAACCAGAAGTGGCGCTGTGGCTCAAGTGGTAGAGAGCTAGCCTTGAGCTGGAGAGCTGAGGAACAGCGCCCAGGCCCAGAGGTCAAGTCCCATGACCAAAAAAGAAAAAAAAAAAGTCATTCTTTGATGATGGAGACCACTGGTCTGAGCTGGCATCACACTAAAGGTGGAGGAACAATGGAGCAGACCATTCTGTACCATTTTTATACAGCATGCCTTTACCTTACTTTTTTTTTCCCTGTAAGAAATCATCTTCAAAGATCTCCTAACAGGAAGTATTTCCTTCCTAATGGCAGACCGTGTTATATGTTGTCATATCCATGACATTATTGGTTAACTTTTTTCTCTATTTTCCTTTATCTATTCATTTTTAGACATCCTATCTACAAGCTTGTTTCTTTGTATACATCTCTATAAACAAAATTGTATGATCAATAGCTTAGAAGTATTTCTCCCTTCTCTTTCCTTCCTTTGTGAGAATGAAATTACGTCCAAAAAAAGTCTTACATTATACTCTCTCAGCTACCCTGTTCAGTGTTTGTCTTCATTTATGGGCCATAGGAAGAAAACTGGGGTGGAGAGCCATGCTGGATTTGAACTCAGTGCCTCATATGCTACATCGTGAGCCATGCCTCCAGCTCAACCACAATAATGTTTACGATGCAAGTTCATTGTCAGTGTATGTTTGATCATATGTAAGCACAGCATGGTTGGGAAAGCAGGGAATATTAACAGAAAATATACTTTAAATTGTATTTCTTTACAACTTTTCTAGATTTTTGTCTTTTTTTCCATGCAATTTAAAGCTAGTCCAAAGAAAGTAAAATATAATTATTGTCTCCATTGTAGTTTTTGGTATGTTAAGATATTTTTCTTCTCACTAAAGTGTCCATTTTAGAAGCCAAGCTACAGAAGCATGAAAGAAGAAATATAAATCTACTAAGAATCTAGGCATTTAGGAAAGCTCTCATTCTATTAGGACTAAGCTTCACTGTTACATAATTTTCCAAAGCAGGAATAGTAAGAGTAATGGCTTGTTATAGTCCCTTCCTCTCTTTTCCATTTTATTTCAGTCCCTCCAATTTCCAACTCAGCGTGACAGTCATGCACTTTATTTTTTGTTTCCTTTCTAGAAGCAAATCCAAACCTATATTACAATTCATATCAAGTCAAGCATAGCGGTTCATGCCTGTAATCTCACCTACTTGGGAAATAGAAATAGAGGATCACTATCGAGGCAAAAAGCATGAGCCCTTATCTAAAAGCAAATGGAAGCCAAGTACTCATAGT